AGGAGCGCGGCGAGCGCCGGCGGCAGAGAATGGCGGTGAGGCGGCGGCAGAGGCGCGGGCCGGGCGGCGGGCGAGCGCTGCTGGCCGCGGTGCTGCTGTGCGTGTGGGGCCGGGCGGCGGCCGAGCGGCTCCGCTACGCCATCCCCGAGGAGCTGGGCAGAGGCTCGCTCGTGGGGCCGCTGGCGCGGGACCTGGGGCTCAGCGCGGACGAGCTGCCGGCGCGCAAGCTGCAGGTGGCGTCTGCCGGCAAAAAGCAGCTGCAATACTTCACGGTGAGTGAGGAGAACGGGAACCTGTACGTGAACGAGAGGCTGGACCGGGAGGAGATGTGCGGCGAGTCGGTGACCTGCTCCGTCAGCTTCGAGGTGCTGGTGCACAACCCGCTGAACGTTTTCCACGTCGAAGTGGCGATCGAGGATGTTAACGATAATTCCCCGGCCTTCAGCAAACCTGTTCTGGACCTCGAAATCGGCGAATTAATCCCTCCAGGCAGTCGTTTTCCGCTGGAGATGGCGCGAGATACAGATGCAGGAAGCAACTCGCTGCTGACATACCAATTATCCAGCAATCCCTCGTTCTCCCTGTCCATGAAGGAAAAGGCGGGTGGAAAAAAGCAGCCAGAATTAATGCTGGAGAGAGCGTTGGACAGGGAGAAGCAGAGCTCCTTCGATTTAGTGCTGACAGCGGTGGACAGCGGGGACCCTGAGAGGTCTGGGACTGTCCTGGTTCACATCAACGTGACAGACGCAAATGACAACCCACCCGTGTTCAGCAAAAGTGTTTACGAGGCCCGAGTTGCAGAGAATTTGCCAGCGGGGTCATTGGTGCTGCGATTACTGGCGACGGATGCTGACGCAAGCTCTAACGGTAGAGTGTCCTACTCCTTTGGCAGCGTCCCAGATGCCGTCAGGGCGTTGTTCTCTATCGACAGTGAGACTGGGGAAATTAGAACAGCGGGTCTCCTCGATTTCGATGAGAAGAATAAATACATCCTTGGCATAGAGGCAACGGATGGTGGCGGGCTCACCGATCACTGTGAAGTGCACCTCGACATCACGGACGAGAACGACAATGCGCCCGAGATCAGCATTCTGTCACTGTCGAGTCCCGTGCCTGAGGACGTTCCGGCCGGAGCCGTGGTGGCCGTGCTAAAAGTTCGGGACAGAGACTCCGGCGAGAACGGTCAGGTGTCGTGCGAGCTGTCGGGAGAGGCGCCGCTGTTGATCGTGGCGTCGTCGGGCGGCTCGTACAAGGTGGTGACGGCGGGCGCGCTGGACCGAGAGCAGGCGTCCGAGCACCGCGTGACGGTGGTGGCCCGGGACCGGGGCAGGCCGGCGCTGTGGAGCAGCACGGAGCTGGTGCTGGAGGTGTCGGACGTGAACGACAACGCGCCGGTGTTCGAGGAGGCGGCGTACAGCGCGTACGTGGCGGAGAACAACGCGGCGGGCGCGCTGG